TCTTCAAACAAAATTTTAATAAAGCAGTCACAACATACAAGAATGGAGTCCAATATACATGACAATTTTGACTTTACAAAAGACAAGTTTGAAAATTTAGTAAAAGCTCTTTTGTAATAAATAGAAGCTTAAAAGTTACTTTAAATTTTGTAACTCACATGAGGTAAATAAGAAACCTTTTAAAAAATCAAAAAAAATTTGAAGTAGACTTAAATATTTTAAGAAAAAGTTTATTAAGAATAAAAAATATTTCATTTGTATCTATATATATCTATATCTTTACAATTTTTTTTCTCCATAAAAATAAGAAAAATCTAATGATTATTAAATGTAGCAAAGACATTTGAAATTTGAAAACTTCATCAAATCAAAACTTGTACAAATGTTTTCATGATCACTGTTAAATAGTGCATGAATAAAAGTTTCATTCTAGTCTTTTGTCATTTTTATGATTTTATCCTATATGATATACAATGTATCTCTTACAGGTCTTTGGACAAAAGTAATTGAAATGTAATTAATTACATTGGCAATGTAATTGTATTGTAATTAATTCCATTTGAAAATCAAAGTAATTGTGATGTAATTAATTACATTTAAAAATCAATGTAATTGAAATGTAATCAATTACTTTGGCATGTAATTGACCCTAGGTCTGTAAGCAATTAAAGGCAACAGAATGACTTTCAACAATGAGAAAAACTCATACCGTATAGTCAGCTATAAAAGGCCCTGACATAAAAAATATGAAACAATTCAATTGAGAAAACTGTAAACTGCCTAATTCATAACAAAACAATTTCTGAAAAACAAATATGACAGACATGAATCAACTACAACCACTGAAGTACAGGCTCCTGACTTGGGACAGGCACATAATGAATGTGGCAGGGTTAAACATGTTTGTGAGTGCTCAACCCTCCCCCTAACCTGGGACATAGGTGTTACAGCACAACATAAATTCCCTTTTTCCCATTAAAATTGTGTACAGTATAAAAGTAAGAAGATTCCGTATGATTGCCAATGAAACAACTCTCCACCCGAGACCAAATGACATATATAGAACATGTAGAATTTAACAACAATACAGTTTAAGGCCTTCAACAATGTCAGAACAAAACCCATACCCCATAGTAAGCTATAATAGGCCCCAAAATGACAAATGTAAAACAATTCAAACAAATTTTCTGTTCAGAATTGAACAAGATACCGTTTTCATACACTGTTTATAATTTTACTGTTTGAGGTGTAATACCACCATTGTTTTTCCCCTACATGTATTAGTCTTTGTTAAAATTGTGCAGAATTTATCTTTGTTTCAAATAAAGAAATACTTGACATGAGAAAAGTTTTATCCTGTCCAGTACTACAGACAAAATTTCACATAACATTTCATTGCATATAAGATAATAACCATCACTGGAAGTTAACCAATCAAATCACCACCCCTTTCTTTCCTGTTTACAAGTGTTAGTAACCATATGCATGTAACCTCAAGTTTCCAAAATATTTCATAGAAACACCAAATAAAAAAAAAGAATGGTGCTTTGAAACACCCAAGATATATGTTGATGACTCAGAAATTTTTTACTTAATGAAATGTAGGATTAATTTCCTACAACTGTCAGTTTCAAGGGAATATTTTTTTCCAACCCTTTTTGTATGCAACAGGTTGTTGTGACAAACTATGATTTGGTGGTATTACACTTTGAAATCTACACTGAAGGTAACGGCCATCAATACATGTACATGTATTATTGTGCTACTAATGTTAGTAATATTAATGGGTAGCATGATTTCATATCAATATATATATAGGTTAGGGAACTTTTAGCATGTTTTTGGTAACTACTAGCATATATTCTTTGACAGTGCTCAAGCGTAGAAATTGAAAGGGGCATGGTGTCTGAGTGGAGGGCAGGGCACATTTTAAGGTTGTGAAAGGGCACTTCTCAATTTTTTTATCTACATTTCTGTGCATTTTCATCCTGGTTTTTTATCACATGTTCACATTGTCTATTACCATGATTACTGTATATATATATCATGTGTATAACATGTATAAGATTACAATAAAGATTACATAAGTACATTTGTAGTTATTGATTGTTTGTATTATGATATTAAATCTTTATCATGTTTATAGTATATTTAAATTTATTACTCTTTTGTTTATTCTTGTGTTTTTGTTGTCTAGTATACATAAACATGATAAAGTGTTTTTGTTGTCCTAAAAATATATATTAAAATTACCAGCATCCAGTATCAAGAATATGTGGAGCTAATGAGAAAGCATTCAGATTTAATGTATGCCTTTAAGATATTGCATTTGAATTCAAAAAATCAATAAGTTTTATGGAAATTACACAAATAGATTGCCTTTGATTATTTGAAATCTTTAAAACCATGGGATTATATATTCTTTTTATGTTCGATTTCTTACACAGAAGATTATGTCTTAAAAGTATATTTTAAGAACACAAATGTAGATATACAAACATGAAGAAACAAGCTAACCTTCCAGAACTTTATAGAAACCAGAAAAGTCTAAACATTTTTTATTTGAACAGAAACACCACAGTTATAAAGTTAAAATGTACATACAACATGTACAATGTATAACATGTATAAGGATGGATTAAATTAAAACCTAAGTAAAAGAAGAGTGTGTCTGAGGACACAAATGCCCCCCCCCCCCCCCCCCTCAAGCTTCAAACAAACGAAAATGGGACGGATGGACAGAATGGTCAAGGGTAACACTCAATGCCCCCATAGCCTACGACAGGGGCATAAAAATCAAAATAAAGAATGATTTTGTAGACTACATGTACATGTACAACATAAAAAGGTAGCATTTTCAATCTATTATTCCAATCTTCACATGACATGTATGATATACATGTATAAGTCCTACATGATGTCTTATCATAGAATTGTTATCAAAGTTCAGGATATTTTAAGTCTAAAGCTGTCTCAAACAGAAGAAACAAATCTGGTTTGAAAGTTAAAATGGTCAGTCCGAACATGATGACTTGTATAGATCTCAATCATAAGAATAATTTGTGGTCCCATTTTTCAACTTTATATACAATTTGGTACTGTTGTATCAGTTGGACTTTTACATGTATCTACAAATGTACATGTACAATACACTCATGATAGTATCACATTCAAGCAATATAGCATCACATTACCATGATGGTAAAAGGCCCTGGGGAGAACACTGGATACTGTACAATATACTCATGAATCATGATACTGTGTCTTACTTATACAGCTTAAGCGTGTCAAGGCATTTCTAACCATTGCTAACCACCAACAAATTTTGTCCATTCTACAGTGGACAGTGGAGTGGGAGCTCAAAGGACAGTAAAAAATGACAAATCCACCTCATCTATATACATGTATATATAGTGCACATGTATATTTTTAACTAGCTTAAAGAAGCATTAAAAAATAACATAGATTATTGTACTTCCTGCATTAACATTATTCTATAGTTAACATTACAATCATTTTATGCAGTATTTAATTTCCTAAAAGACTGACAAAAATTTTTCATGTTTATTTTTCTAAATATGCATTGTTTATATGACAGTTTTTTATCCTTAGTAATCGATATAATAAATGACATATAAAACTGAAACCTAATTTGCTACATGATATACATGAACATGTATGTCATGACCATCATGACCATAGGGATGACATACTTTTTCCATTCCAAAAATATACATATTACAGAATATACACAATGTGATTCAGTCAAAAATCACATGATTACCTGTAAAACAGGGTGATTACACATTTGTTACAGGTGATTAGATCATTGGAGGATATTTCACTTTGATTTACAACCCAAACATACATGTACATATGTACATGCATGCAGACAGATGTATTTCAGAGTGAATTACCCTACATTTACAATGTACATGTTTTCCATAAAGCCACCTAAATTTCTTATTTGCTAAAAAATAAATTTGATAAAATATTAATATATTCCATGTATTTATTTACCAAATTTTTATGATAATTTATTACTTGAATGTTCTCGTTATGCAAAAAAAAGTCTGTTTCCTGCCTACAACCATTTTTGGTTGGTCAGTCGAATTTCATTTTATATTTTTTTTTGCATCTTAACAAAATCTGAAAAAAAATCCTGTTTTCTCAGAGTTTGGTCCCGTTTTACACTTACAATGTTTATATGCATCTGGGAATTTGCGCATAAGTGGTCACATGATGGTTTGACAAGTTCTAAATTTGAATAATAACAATATTATTACAAATTTGAGTGAATAATCCAGTGATAATCGGATTCTTAGTCATATAAGAAAGCTCTTTAACAATTTTTTTAGAATAAGTTTTAAGAAAGGAAATAAAATATTCAAGGGTCAGCGATCAAACTTAGGGTCAGTCCGGAGGTAGGAAACTAGCATACATGTATATTTTTTTCGGCTTTAAAATATGTGTGTTCAGTTTATACAAAATATTACAATCTTGATGCATTTTTGGACTCACCAGTTTTGAAAATGGTGAGTCCAGACAGATTTTCATGAGTCCAGGACTCATGGACTTGCCTTAGTGAGAACCCTGCTGTAGCACTAACCAATCGCATCACAACACTATCTCATTTCAGCCCTATGCTATTGGACAGACCTCAGCACTATTGATTTTTCAAATTTCCTGTCTTCACCTACATGCATATATATATATATGTAACCCTAAAAATTCAGTCCCTCCCCGTAATCATTCTCTCCTACTTGCCAACATCTCAAAAAGTGGCCAGTACCAGGACTCAACCTAAAGATATCCTAGTGAGAACCCTGAGCATTAATGTGCTGTATTCTTCGACTATACATTATTATACAACAGGACCAACAAAACCTCCTTTATCATGTAATTTAATAGTGCATGTCATGCATGTGGGATGTGGCCAATAATAGAAGCAGAGTATGGGTTTGTGAGTAAGAAAGATTTCGATCCTTAAAGTTTTGTACCTTCTTTGATTCCTTCCTGGTCTGAATTATCACATACAATCAAAAATGAGTTCAACAAAACTGTTACAACAATAAACAGTGTGATTATCACCGGCGATCTAAGCCAACTTCTGGTTATCATATTTTGCCCTCCTGGTAATTTCTAATATTTATCCTGCAATACATTAATATCTTTGGCACTTAAATCCGGTATTTGTTCATATAAATTCATTACAAATCCTTTAAATAGTGCGAAAATTCAAAAAAGAATTCGAGTGATGATGATACGTATCATTCTTCAACCGGAAGTTTATTTGATACATTGGGTAGTGCTAAAAGTTGAACCGATGAACCGATTTTATCAAACTAATAAATCTTAACGTGAGAGTAGTTTAAAAATGATATTGATCATAATATTGATCATACAATGTAACAGGATTTATATAATCAACTAAGAATTATATATTTCATTTCATTTTGTCATCATATGAAATTATGTATCTTACTTTTCCATTTATCAAAACGTCAGTAGTTAGCAAACGTCTAGGCCAGGGACGGATTCAGACGGGGGCGTGTCGGGCGTGCACCCAATAAAATTTGCAAAGCATGGGTTGTCCTCAGCTTAATAAAGAATATTTCGATAATTTTACCTCAAAAAATTTTAAGTTTGCGCCTCCTAACCTAAAATCCTGGATCCGCCCCTGGTCTAGGCTCCACCTGGGACTATTAATTAGTATAATACGGTTCCAGCTAGGCTCCACACCTCATAAGATTTGAAATGTTGATTTTCACTTTTTGAACATGCTACGTTGATGTTTATATGTATTTATGTATTTTATTCTCAGACTGTTTAAATGCCACCAATCCTTCGGGGTATCTGGGACTATTATATACTAATTTAGTATATAATATAAAGGTGTATTTATATTGATACATTTATTTTTTTCAAAAGTGATCAAATCATCTAATTAGAATAATTAGAACCTCTGTTCTTTTTCGAGTGTCAAGAGATAAATGGATCATGATCGGTACTGATCGAAGTTGATTTCGGCTGAGAGTACAACTTGATAACACAATAATCTCAGATTTGGGGTATTTTTTTATGATAAATTTTCTATTCATTATAACTTTTATATTTAATATTGGTTTTTTGTTCTACATCATGCATGGTTCAGTCAAGATCATGAGGATCTGGATATGCGAAAATATTAAGAATAGAGCAAAATGTATAAAAAAGTAAAGAAAAGAAAATAATGGCCGGTGCTAAAATATAAAGAACATTGAATAATGGGTAAGCCATATAAAATGTATAAAGATAATAAAATAAAATAAAAATTTAAGGACATAGAAACGAAGGACCCCCATTCAGACCCTCGGTCATGCTGAGGAGGCAGCAGTCACGCTGACGCATATAGTTTACATTGCATGTTATCTTCAATGAGAAGATGTGGTATGATTGCCAATGAGACAACTCTCCACCAGAGACCAAATGACGTGGACTCAGTTTACAATTATAGCCTCACCGTACGTCCTTCAACAACGATCAAAAAGGCATACCGCATACACTGCAAGCTATAAAAAGCCCCGAAATGATAAATGCAAAACTGTTCAAACAAGAAAACTAAGGGTCTGATTTATTAACAATTAAGCCATTAACGAAAAACAAATATGCCTTACACAGCAACAAACGACAACCACTTACAAGCTCGTGACTTGGGAAAGGCACATACAGAATGTTGCAGGGTTAAACCAATCTAATTAAAACATAGATATCTGATTTCCTTATCCTCCTTAGACTGTTTTAAAGGCGCCAATTAACCCTCCCCTTACCTTGAACAGTAGGGCAACGGCACAACACAATTTGGATCCCGCTAACATGTTTAAGCCCGCTACATTCTGTATGTATGTGCCTGTCCCAAGTCAGGAGCCTGTAATTCAGTGGTTGTCGTTTGTTTATGTGTTACATATTTGTTATCGTTAATTTTTTTGTACATAAATAAGGCCGTTAGTTTTCTCGTTTGAATTGTTTTACATTGTCATTTCGGGGCCTTTTATAGCTGACTGTGCGGTATGGGCTTTGCTCATTGTTGAAGGCCGTACGGTGACTTATAGTTGTTAATTTCTGTGTCATTTGGTCTCTTGTGGAGAGTTGTCTCATTGGCAATCATACCACATCTTCTTTTTATATTTACCAAAACTTATCTAAAATTCCACACAAATTGAAAATAATGACATTCTGATTGCTTACGTTTATTTCCAAGTCAAAAGAGGATCGAACTATCAATATGATTTATTTAACACATTAATAAATATAAGAAATATAGCGCTATGAATAGTAAGAAAATAACTGAAAGATAGCTGTAGAATTAATAAATTGAATGTATTGATTTTTATATTCTCATTAACGATCTTTCACGTGTCGTGTAAGCTGTCTTTGTCTTGTTCAACAACAAAAACAATTTACCTTTTATGATCAGACAAATGAAATAAAATTGCTTTTAATTTTTTTACACTCCCTCTATTTTCTATGACTGAAAACTAAAGACCATGTGAATTAACGAGACAACAACCCAACCCCAAAAAGACATATAGGGGGCAACATACAGTGCTCAACAACTAAAAAGGATGAGTGGCCATACAATATATCAAGCTTTAAATCGTCCCGCGTCTATAGTAGTTGTGAATCAATTACAGTGGAAGAAAGGGATAGCCTGATTTTTGAATGTAGGAGATAGAGGGTAAAACAAGAGCCTGAATCGCTCACCTGTAATTTTTTTGCTTAAATCTTTCATCAATGATAATTTTTGCTTTTCAATATATATTAATGAGTGGCTTAAAAATGCCATTTAAATGTTCTTTGTATCTGTCAAATTTTCTTCAAAAGCAAAAAAATGCATTTTACACCTATGTTCCATTTTAGCCATAGTGGCTTTGTTTATTGACGTACAAGGAAATAAAATACAAAATTTAGACTAGATACTCTGAAACTCATTCAGCCCAAGTTTGGCTGAAATTGATTCAGCAGTTTCAAAGGAGAAGATTTTTTAAAGTAAGCAACGAGATGAACAAATTGTGAAAAATTGTCTTTAAAGGGCAATAACTGCTTAAGGGGTCAATTAACAATTTTGGTCATATAAAAACTTATTTGTAGATCTTACTTTGCTGAACATTTTTGCTGTTTGTAGTTTATCTTTATCTATATTGAAGATAATAACCGAAAACTGCAAAATTTCCATAAAATCATCAATTCAGGGGCAATAACCTAAAAATCAGATACCCGATTTGGCTGATAATTTCAGGGCAGGTAGACCTTGACCTAATGAATACTTTAACTTCTTGTCTGATTTGCTCTAAATGCTTTAGTTTTTGAAATATAAGCCAAAAACTGCATTTTACACCTATGTTCTATTTTTAGCTATGGCGGCCATGTTTTTTGACGAAACAGAAAATAAAACATAAACTTATTTCCTAATCGTTTTTTTTTTTTTTTTTTTTTTTTTGGTGTGGAGGTTTGAAAACGGAAGTAAATTTTTTTAATGTTAACTGTTTTTCTTTCTTCAATTAAGTTTATCTATGAGGGTATTGATGGGGGTTTATAGAATAGAGAATAATGGGCAACAAGTATTAAGAATAGAGAAAAATGAACAAAAACAAATTTAAAAATAGAGAATAACGATGTAAAATATAAAGAATAGAGAATAATGGGCAAAAAGTATAAAGAATAGAGAATAATGGGCAAAATTATAAAGAATAAAGAATAATGGGCAAAAAGAATAAAAAATAAAGAAAAATGGCCTAAAAAATTAAAGAATACAGAAATGAGGACCCCCATCCAGACCCTTATTTATATTGAACGGTATCAACGTTATTAGTTTATTTCCTCGAACATTGATGTTTTCCCGTACTATAATGCCAAAATCCAAATGATTTGTCATTCGTTCTGAATATTATGAGCATCTTAAAGCCTGCATCCGCCCTAAACAAATCCTCTTCAAATGTTCACTTCTTACGTGTTTTATCCCTTTTATTCATGAACAACCATAAATCAGACCCAATCCGAAGAACCAACAACTCTTAATGGACCTAGCATTGGTATGGCTCTTTTTCTATCGCAGATGGATATATAAAGAACCCCCCAGACGGAAGCTTTATAATCGAAAACCTAAATCTGTTTATTGATACTTTACCTCGGACTTTTTTTAGCCCGAGTTAACTATCGTTCGAAGTAAACGTGCGGTTGTATTTCTAGCGAAATACAAAATTAGTATTTCCAAAGCCAGCAAATGAAAGTATTTACAAACACAAGTTTGACTTTCCAAATATCTGTCATTCTAAAACTTGTCTGCACTATAAGTGTAACCATGCAATTGAGAATGTCAGTATTCAAATAGGAAGCCGAGGTTGCAGAATATATATTTAAAAAAAAAATAATTTTGAAGAATAGGACAGAAATGACTAAACGATTAGCACTCAGTGATGCACGTGTATTATGCTTGATTGATTGATTGATGTTTTCGAAGCGTCCAGTGGCAAATATTTCATGCATGTTCAGGACTAGAACAAATTAACAATAGATACAATAGTTAAGCCATAGAGTAAAGGTTAATCGGAAAACAATGAAACGTTTTAAAAGTTCGCGTTGGTGATTACCTCCCCCTGAAAATTCTGGATCCGCCCCTGCAACCCCCCTCGAAATTTCGATCAGTGTGAAATAGCAAATCGTACACAAAAGAACAAACAATAATAATCAATACACGAAAAAAGTATTTAGTTCTAAAATAGCGATATAAAAGATTAGTTACACTCGGTTGGGGATTAAAGAGGCATTGTACCTGCTGATAAGAAATCATGCTACCCTACCTTTAGTAAAGGTTGCCATATTTCATAGAACATTTCATATATAAAGCAAAGTCGACGTCATAAACAGAACATTAGACGACACGACATTGTACAATTTCTATACAAACTATATATACAGTACAAACAAGAGAAAGGTTTCAGTTCACGCCGTGCAACCAAACTGTATTCCTTTTCATATAAACCCCGTCGGATACGATCACGCACCGCTGTAAACTTGAAGTGCGTGTCATAAAATTAATATCTACTAGTATTAATTTATTTTCTCCGAATAAAAAATTCTTAATGACCTCATTCCTGTTTTTTCTTCTTCTTTCTTTTACACCAAACGGACAGGTGTAGCAGTTAAAAGTAATAATTCTCTTGTTTATATTTTCAAAAATGACACGCATTATTGTAAAAAATGAAACCAACACGTTATAAAGTTTATGCGTCCGAAGAGTTTTTCTGGATT